TATAGACTAGACTATAGACTAGACTATAGACTAGACTATAGACTAGACTATAGACTAGACTATAGACTAGACTATAGACTAGACTGTAGACTAGACTATAGACTAAAGTCTAGTCTATAGTCTAGTCTATAGTCTAGGCTATAGTCTAGGCTATAGTCTAGGCTATAGTCTAGGCTATAGTCTAGTCTATAGTCTAGTCTATAGTCTAGTCTATAGTCTAGTCTATTGTCTAGTTTATAGACTAGGGTGAATGGGTTTTAAGAAGTTATAACAAATTTTACAAATTTAGTTTTATTGTTTAGTGCAACGGAATACTCCACTTTCCATTATTTCGGAAAAAATTAATAACTTAAAACACTCTCGGAAACCCTACAATATACACATGCCTCTAATATTAATACAAATATTGTTAGATATTTGTATTAATATAGACTATAGACTAGACTAGACTATAGACTAGACTATATACTAGGCTATAGACTAGACTATAGACTACACTATAGACTAGACTGCAGACTAGACTATAGACTAGACTATAGACTAGACTATAGACTAGACTATAGACTAGACTATAGACTAGACTATAGACTAGACTATAGACTAGACTATAGACTAGACTGTAGACTAGACTATAGACTAAAGTCTAGTCTATAGTCTAGTCTATAGTCTAGGCTATAGTCTAGGCTATAGTCTAGTCTATAGTCTAGTCTATAGTCTAGTCTATAGTCTAGTCTATAGTCTAGTCTATAGTCTAGTCTATAGTCTAGTCTATAGTCTAGTCTATAGTCTAGTCTATAGTCTACTCTATAGTCTAGTCTATAGTCTAGTCTATAGTCTAGTCTATAGTCTAGTCTATAGTCTAGTCTATAGTCTAGTCTATAGTCTAGTCTATAGTCTAGTCTATAGTCTAGTCTATAGTCTAGTCTATAGTCTAGTCTATAGTCTAGTCTATAGTCTACTTTATAGTCTACGACAAAATCTGAGATCTACGAAGCTCTGAATGTTCACCTAGGAGTTTCTATAGTCTAGTCTATAGTCTAGTCTATAGTCTAGTCTATAGTCTAGTCTATAGTCTAGTCTATAGTCTAGTCTATAGTCTACGACAAAATCTGAGATCTACGAAGCTCTGAATGTTCACCTAGGAGTTTCCGAAATAAAGGAGACGGACATAAAAAGTCTCAGGAAGGGCTATGGCAAAACACAAACTGCAGTAATTAGCTTACTAGTTGATCTAGGGCGTAAAGCTCTTGAAACCGGAAAAGTTCGGATCGGATGGGTTATATGTTGACTACGGGAAAATGTGCTTTTAAGGAGATGTTACAGATGTCCGGAATTTGGGCATATCTCCACAACATGCTCTAATTCCCAAGACAGGTCAAAATTGTGTAGAAGGTGTGGAGCTGGAGGACACATAGCAAAGAACTGCACTAATAATCCCGAATGTATGTTCTGTAAACAAACGGAAGGAGCTGACACAAACCATGTTGCAGGCAGTGGAAAATGCCCAGTTTTTAAGCGAGCACTGAACAAAAGGCGACAGTATAAAAACATGGATGACACTGTATGGGTGAAAGAACAAAGCGGCAAAGCTGCGATGTGGGCATGTGGAAAGAAAGTCCCCAAACACATACAAAATGGACTCATAAGAGCTAAAATCGATGGCATACACATTTATAGTTGCTACTTTCCTCCAAGTGCTACAATATGTGAATTCAAAGAGATGCTTACACACTTACTAAGATATTCAGACGATTACAACCCAAAAGTTATAGCGGGAGACTTTAATGCTTGGGCCATCGAATGGGGAAGTCGAAAAACCAATACCAGAAGACGAATTCTGTTCGAAGCAATTTCTAGCCATAACTTAGTACTGGCTAATAACGGTAATACACCAATATTTACAGCAAGAGGAAGAAACTCAGTCGTAGATCTTACTTTTATGAGTAGCTCCTTGACTAAAGAGTTAGAGTGGTCAGTAAGCGACCAATATACTCATAGCGATCACCATGCTATCGTATTCTCAATAGATTTTGTCGTAGACTATAGACTAGACTATAGACTAGACTATAGACTAGACTATAGACTAGACTATAGACTAGACTATAGACTAGACTATAGACTAGACTATAGAAACTCCTAGGTGAACATTCAGAGCTTCGTAGATCTCAGATTTTGTCGTAGACTATAAAGTAGACTATAGACTAGACTATAGACTAGACTAGACTAGACTATAGACTAGACTATAGACTAGACTATAGACTAGACTATAGACTAGACTATAGACTAGACTATAGACTAGACTATAGACTAGACTATAGACTAGACTATAGACTAGACTATAGACTAGACTATAGAGTAGACTATAGACTAGACTATAGACTAGACTATAGACTAGACTATAGACTAGACTATAGACTAGACTATAGACTAGACTATAGACTAGACTATAGACTAGACTATAGACTAGACTATAGCCTAGACTATAGCCTAGACTATAGACTAGACTATAGACTAGACTTTAGTCTATAGTCTAGTCTACAGTCTAGTCTATAGTCTAGTCTATAGTCTAGTCTATAGTCTAGTCTATAGTCTAGTCTATAGTCTAGTCTATAGTCTAGTCTATAGTCTAGTCTGCAGTCTAGTCTATAGTGTAGTCTATAGTCTAGTCTATTGTCTAGTTTATAGACTAGGGTGAATGGGTTTTAAGAAGTTATAACAAATTTTACAAATTTAGTTTTATTGTTTAGTGCAACGGAATACTCCACTTTCCATTATTTCGGAAAAAATTAATAACTTAAAACACTCTCGGAAACCCTACAATATACACATGCCTCTAATATTAATACAAATATTGTTAGATATTTGTATTAATATAGACTATAGACTAGACTAGACTATAGACTAGACTATATACTAGGCTATAGACTAGACTATAGACTAGGCTATAGACTAGACTATAGACTAGACCAGCGGTTCCCACCGATTTTTACTTCGCGGACCCCTTGAAGAACTTATTTAATTTCGCGGACCCCCATACATATTTTGATATTCTATTGTTCTAAATAATTGTCCATCCGAAAATTGACCTAGTCCATTAATCCCTAGGTCTAATAAATGTAGAGATGTCATATCTATAAAATATTCCCGTACATTGAGAATATATAATATTTCAGATAGGTTTTCAATTGCAAGTTTTGAAGATAGAATGACTTCTTTGTTGATATGTTAACATGATGTTTCATTTTATGATCGTGAGATCTTTCATGTTCATTTTTCTTCAAGGTAGCGAAAATATCAATATCAAATATTGTCACATGTGCTTAAGGAGTCACGTTTCAAAAATTTGTTGCGATTGCAAAGGGTGAACTGAGTAAGTGAGCTAAGTTTTCGAGAAAATAATATAAGAAAGTTGGACTTCTTCTATGTTGTTGCGGAATGCGTTATCCGCATAATATATGATTTGAACTCTTAGTTAAAGTACTGTGAATTTGGAACTTAAATTTAAATTTTAAAATACCAACGAATTATTTTACTTCATGGTTTTTGGCTACATATTTACGCGAAACGCTATGGATTTTCTGATGTTAATTTAATAATATGTATTGGTCGACAAAATCAAGTTAAAATCTGTGTATCACGTCGGATTGGAATATTTATAAAGAGATGCATAAAGAGTCACCTCTGTTTTGAAAATATATAATTTTAGTCCTTTCAAACAAGAACACTTTTGCTTACAATTTGATAAACTTAAATCTATAATAAGCTTGTCTTTGAATTGAACTTCATACTCCGGAATTAATTTAATTGTAAGGCAGAGTATTATTTGTCTGAAATAAAAACCAATATTTCAGTACATATACAGGAAATAAAAATTACAAATCACGCAATACTTTACTTTATAAAAGTTATACAATAAATTTGTACGGCCTAGCTTCTTCCTGATAAACAACCGAAAAAATAAAATTCAAAAAGTCACCAAAAAATTTAGGATTATTGCACAAAAATTGGAGATATTTGTACATACATATAAAAGAATATTGTTTATTCATGTTTTTTTCGTTCGTCTTCGCGGACCCCCTAGGATTTTACTACGGACCACTAGGGGTCCGCGGACCCCCATTTGGGAACCGTTGGACTAGACTATAGACTAGACTATAGACTAGACTATAGACTAGACTATAGACTAGACTATAGACTAGACTGCAGACTAGACATAGACTAGACTATAGACTAGACTATAGACTAGACTATAGACTAGACTGTAGACTAGACTATAGACTAAAGTCTAGTCTATAGTCTAGTCTATAGTCTAGGCTATAGTCTAGGCTATAGTCTAGTCTATAGTATAGTCTATTAACTAGTCTATAGTCTAGTCTATAGTGTAGTTTATAGACTAGGGTGAATGGGTTTTAAGAAGTTATAAAAAATTTTATAAATTTAGTTTTATTGCTTAGTGTAACGGAATACTCCACTTTCCATTATTTCGGAAAAAATTAATAACTTAAAACACTCTCGGAAACCCTACAATATACACATGCCTCTAATATTAATACAAATATTGTTACATATTTTGGAAAAAATTGCGTTTTTCGATCTACAATCGAATAGTAAACAAATAACCATCGCGAAAAAACATCGTTTTATTTTTGCTTTTCAAAATATGAACAATTAAAAACTTTTAGTTTTTCAAAATAAAATTGTTCATATGAAGGAAAACACTCTTTCGTCCAAAAAAAAAATAAATAAAATACAAACACAACAATATCCAAACGTAAGACCAGCAACACCCACAATCACAAAAACAGACATTCATTCAGTCGTACTCTTATTTTTGGAAAAATCTTGGCATAATTAATCGCCCCAAAAACACCAACAGCAACAACAATAAAATTACAAAAAATTAAATAGAGAGCGCAAATAAATTAACAATAACAACAACAAAATGGCCAAATGTTTAAACATTTTGAGGTGAATTTTTGCTATTTAGTCAATGTTTGTATTTTTTTGTGAAATGTTTCATTTGGAATTTTACTCGTTCAAAGTTTGGACGCGTTTTTTAGCAAAAAGTTTAATATTTTGAAAACATTTAACTAAAACATATACAAAAACTAATAATAAATAATTCCAAACACAATACTGAAAATATAGTGTGATTTTCAAAAAAACGGCATTAAAATCTTTAATATTTTGTAATAAAATTTAAAAACGAGAAAAATGCCATCGTGTCGTTCCTGTTTACAATGGACTATTATTATTTTCAATACATCATGTGTGGTAAGTGAGTGTTAATGAAATAAAAAAGTGGAAAAATAGTGAAAATTAAAAGAATTTTATGGAATATTAAAAGAAAAAAAGTATTTTAAATAAACACAAAATTAATTATCTAAAGCAAAACAAATTTATTAAATAAATACTAATTGACCCCCTGTTTTTAGAAAACTTTAAATCATTTTCATTCGATACAAGTGTTATTGTTGTAATGTTATAGTTTTCCATTTATAATAAAAGTTTTTATATCTTTTTCAGAAACAGGAGGTTAAAGAACCTTAACAGATTTTACAAACAAATATTTCATAAATAAATTAGCCTTTCATTTTCAAAACACTATAAATATCAAGACATTATATTCGAAAACTGACAACTCAAAAAAGTCTAGTTTTAAGGAGTGCACAAAACCGTTCAATTCGTGAAATATTGCACAAAAGAAAATGTTTATTCCATTATATATATTTAATAACCTTCCAAATTTTTATCAAAAAATTACTTCATTTAGAGTTCCGTTCAGAAAATTACTTTAACATCAATTAATAAAAATAAATAAGTTTTATATGAACCTAAATCAACTTTCCAACACAGAATTTGTCTGCTTAAAAATATAGTGTATTAACATGAAATGCCAGACTATAGATGTTCCGTCCATCTATCTCATGATCATGCCCAATTAGATTTTCTTACTTCTTTGGATGAAAAAAATTGTTGTGAACTACAAACCTATAGGGAGAATCCATGAGAAATTGGACAGCAGTCGGATTTACCATCCCTGATTGTAATAAAACTCACCACAAATGTAATATACATATGGGTCATTTCGTGTTAAGTGACCCAACTTTTAAAATCGATGTCTTCCGATTTTGATGATATTTGGTTCAGAACTGCAGGACTTAGAGGGGGTCAAAGTTAGATATTTTGGTCATACAGGGTTTTATGTGTAACTTTTTACCTATTGGTCCTAGCCCCTTGCATCCCACCAAGCAACCACAAGGCTCTTAAAGAAAATAGTCTAAGCTTTCTTTTGAGCAAAAATTACAACAAAAACGACCATTTTGGAAAAATAGGGGAAATGAAGTGCCAAATATTGAAAAAATCTTATTCTTGAGTTAAAAAATTATTTTCTTTGATAGATATTCCACTCGCATCCCATTATCTTTATCTGTATATATATAAATCAATGTATGTTTGTTTATTTATACCTTATAGGAGGCTAAACCACTGAAGCGAAATTCTTGAAATTTTCACTGTATGTTCCTCTATATCTGGAAGGAACAATAGGCTACTTTTATATTGCAAGTGGGAGAGGTGTCACGCCCACTTCCTTAAAAGTCGAATATCTCGGAATATGGTACGACTAGAGTCCTCAAAATTTGTGTGGACAATTTTGATATCCATATGGACATTTGAAGGAAAAATGGCGGGACTATCATTAGGGGGCGTAACACCTACCATATGAATTAAATACAAACATTTTTATATCTGGGAATCGCTTAAAGCTAGAATCCTCAAATTTTGCACTAATAAATTTGTCATTCATGTGAACATTTGGGTAATAAATTGGCGGATTAGGAATAAGGGCGCAGCACCTCCCATATGAATACAATAAAAAATTCATATATGTATCTGGAAAAATATTAGAGCTAGAATTCTAAAAGTTTGTACGGGCAACATTGAAATCCATATAAACAATTTTAAGGAAAATTGTGAAGACCAGAAAGAGGGGGCGTGACACCACCCATATGAATTAAATACAAAAATGTGAATATCTGGAAAACACTTAGAGCTAGAATCCTTAAATTTTGCACGAGCAACTTTATCATCCATGTGAACATTTGGGTAATTATTTGGCAAATTAGAAAAAGTAGGCGTGGCACTTCTCATATGAATTAAATACAAAAATTCGAATATATTTATGTTATAAGGGGTGTGGCATCCCTTATTGCTATTCATATATCTGGGAAAATATAAGAGCTAGAATCCTCAAATTTTGCACGAACAACTTTGTCATCCATGTGAACATTTGGGTAATAAATTGGAGAATTACAAAAAGGGGCCGTGGCACCTCCCTTATAAATAAAACTATCATTCGTATATCTGGGAATCTATAAAAGCTAGAACACTAAAATTTGATGTTGGAAATTTTTACTCCCATACATTTACATTTAAGAAAATGAATGGACGAACCCTAAATAATGGTCATGATTATTTATTTTAAAGATTCAGCTTCTTATTAATATTAGACAAAAATTAATAATTGAAAATTCTTTCCAGATATTTGGTATTTTAGGTGTAGTCGAAAGTATATTTGAATTGCAAAAATACAATTATGGCTCACCGGATTTTACGGAGAAAATAGTACAAATCGTTATTGGAACTGTATTGGTTATATCGGCATTTATAGGTTGCTGTGGTGCAGTACATGGCTCTGTGAAGATGTTAATACTTGTAAGATCTTTTTTTGATTAACTGTAAAAAGACCACTGTGTTTTGTACATGATCAGTAAATAAGTTTATATTTACTGATCATGCACAAATTTTTCTAAAACTACACATAAGCCCTTTTACAGTAATTGCGCTGTTATAGATTTTTTGTTATAAATTGATTCAAAATTATTCCCTCCAGTTTATTACCATATTATTCGCACTGATAGCTGCTCATATTTGGAAATTGTGGCGTTACGATGAACTTAGAGTGCGAACAACAACCGAGGTTATGGTCAGCTATACATGGGTAGAAGAAGTTGTAGAACGTGGGAAAATGAATCCATTACAAGAAACAGTAAGTACATTTAAATTTTATTGAACAGGTAATACATAAGAACATTTTACCAGAAGTCAATAACTATTGATCGGTTTTAATCACTTCAAAATTGTTATTTTTGTAGTCTTTAATATATGTATATTTTGTTTCCTTTACAGTACACTTGTTGCGGCAAACATGGATATATTGATTATATCAATAATTTTATGAAAGTTCCCGACAGTTGTTATCACTACGAAAATAATAAAAAATCATACTATCCCCACGAAGAGGGTTGTATATCAGCGGTGTCAAGAGCTTATTTAAGTATCTATCGCATGGAGACCTGGGCACACATTTCATTGATTGGATTCGAGGTGAGTGGATCTCATTTCTTGGCACTTTGACGTGTGCAAAAATAAAATAAATATTATTTCTTTTTGTTTTCAGATTTTAGGCATTATTTTATCTATTGTGTTAATATGCAATTTGACGGCCGATACATTACGTTATAGTTATTAGTGGTTTATAAAATTGACAAATTTATTTATTTATTTATTTATTTATGTGTGAATAATGTATCTTAATTTAATAATAAAATTTTGTAATAAAAGGTGTAATATGTACAACTTATCCAAAAACCAATCAAAAAATATTGATTTGATCCGGTTTTGAGTCCTTATCTTGTTGGAAGCACCAGCTTACAGATAGACCCAATTAATATTTTGACTTCAGATGTAAAAGAATGCGTCTGCTTAAATATTTTATAGAGACATATATGTATGTAACTGTAACAGATATATCAAAAGTTCTATTTTAAATATCCCAAAAATTATCGACTCTTAGATTTATGGGAAACTAACTAACTCAGTAATATCGACAAAACTTGCATCACTAGTGAAAGCTCTACTTGCGGTACTAACGTTGTTTGAGATTCCAAAGCCCCCGACTTAAGGTATATAAACACGAAGCTCTCTCAAGAACAGTTTAAACATTCTCAGGCGATATGCATTGTCATCGATACTCTTATCCAATCCTAAGACCAATTTTACGTTAACCGGGTGTTCCGTAAATTTCGTAATACTAAAGGATCCAAATTACTTGTGTGAAAAGGCTGAAGAGGCTGAGTATACGTCCTTGAGCTGGACTCATCTAAAGGGCTTAAGTGTTAACAAGGCCAAGACGGAAATCTGTCTTTTCACAAGAAAGACAATCATTTCATAATATATTGAACAATGTTTCCTGGACAAGAAGATACCGGTGATCGACAGAGTTAAGTACTTAGGTGTAATTTTTTACCGGATATGAAAATGGAGGCACTGTATAGAGGATAGGATCAACAAGGCACATCGGCGCTGGGCGCAATGTAGGAGAACCATTGGCACGAAATGGGGCCTAAGCCCAACTATGACACATTGGCATTATAAAAGTGTAAGTAGACCAATTCTAAATTATGTTTTAATAATCTGGTGGACTTCTAAGTGTAATATCAAACTACTACAGGGTGCCATAAGCCCAACGTCAACCAAGGCTCTAGAATGAATATTCCACCCATTGAAACAACTATAAGATATGAGGCGGCACTTACAGCCGAACGGGTCATAACATTAGGCAAACTGACCTGTTATAATGTATATTGGAAACATTGGAAGGCTATACGCAATCATCGGATGTGCCCAATTGCATAGCAGACAGAGAATATGTCGGGAATTTTTTTGTTCCATATTGAAAACCTAGAGACAGAAATATACTACCGTTTACATAATCACAACACCGATCAATAACAGTATGCTTAAATTGAATTAGAAAAAATATGGTACCAAAAGGGGCTAACATATTTACTGGTAGCTAGACAATTAGGGCGATATCAGACAACGAAAGAGCGAATATATAGCATTACAGGGAAGGGAGCTCGATGTATATAGTTAACCTGACGAACGCGAAACTATTCGACGCAACGAGGCTAGAATTAAGATATGGATGATAGAATCCTATAAGGTCTCTTGGAATAATAAATGATGGAAAGAACCACAAAGATAATATGGGGTGACAGTAATGAGAGCAAGACGAGAAGTCTGAGGTTAGTATGATAGTACGTATTCTGAATGGACACATACGGAAACTGAGTTTCTAAACATGGGACGATAAAACATTTTTCATGAAAATGAAAGCACAATAGTCCTGATAGTGGCCTAGGTATATTTCTTGGGATTTGATGTAGTATAATACATCCTCCTAAACAAATCCAACCAAATCCGGTAGCCTAACTTAATTAACGATCTTAAACTGTGTCAGATATTTAATAAACACTAGAGCGGGAAATTTAAATTTGTAATCAAAAGATTTATAAATAACGTTAAGTTTTGTTTGACAAAAATGTGCACTCCATTTAACATCAACACGATGTTTGAGTTAAAATTATTTGATTTAATAGAGAGACATACAGGAGAATCAAATACATTTTTAGAACTCTCAACAAAACCGCAATTGAAATTGGAGAGAAATAATAAATGTTTAAGCAATTCATTTGATATGATTCAACTTATACATTTTATTTTTACTGTTTCAATTGAGTTTTAGATACTCTACAAAATGGTCTTCGAAAGGTTAACAATTAAATCAATTCTACTTATTCTTAACAGTTTAAATATCGTAAGTAAACGAAATAAATAAAATTAATAAAAATGCTTATAATTGTGAATAATTAAACAAAATCTGTTAAACATATTGAAGGTGCGTGCTATAATAGAAATTATTTTAACATTGTTTAATTCCGATCCGAACAATTTATTGTTTATGAACTACATAACGATGTTAATTTCGGGGATATGTTGTGCGGCTGCCGTAATGGAATCGTTTTTAATTTTACAAATAGTAAGTATTCGTTAGAATATAAAAAGTAATTAAAAATTCAATTATTAAATTTAACTTAAAAATTAAATTATTCACAAGAATAAATTCATGTGCGTAATTTTTAAATAGGTGTTTGGTAAATTACTTTTACGCCAATCAAATATTAAAATTTTGTGAATCACTACACTTGCACCGGTTAAAAAAACCTGCATTTGTTTGTACAAAATAAAAAAAAATCCAAAATATTACGTCTCATTTTACGTGACATTATACATATTTCTTTAGCAATTATTCGAAAATACATTACTAATTATTTGTTAATTTTTTTCAGTCTGCCAATATATTTCTTAGTGAAATTATAGCAACAGTAGTTATATGGATTTATACAGAAGATTTATCCCTGCATCTATATACATTACTTGTTTTGGTGAGTATTTGTCTATAAAAATATAGAAATAAGTATTTCAATATACAGTGAATCAATTAAGTTTTTTGCCTACCTTTTTTAAAGTGAAATTTTATTTTTTGTTCATAAATAAAATTAGAAAAAAACAGATAAAAAGTATATTTATGTTTTCCAATTAAAAGTATACAAAAAATACATATTGTTGTGTATTTGTTGTTGTATTTCATTATTTTCAGAATTCCATTTTTGTTGCATTTTATTATCATCAGAATTTGCAGGTCAATAAAGTATTTTGCATTGTTAGAATTCCATTTAATTTTCGTTTTTTATTGTTTTATCTTATTGTAATTCTATCAGAATTCTTAAAAAACGACTTGTCTTTCAAAACCTTTACTGCCAATAGGGGACCGACTTGTACCTAAGAAAAATCATTGAAACCTGCATTTATCTTCTCCAAAGACCAAATACGAACTAGGAATAATTCAGAAATTTACAAATATAGGTGGTTGTCACCACTTTTGTTAGGTTAGGTTGATACTTAGAAGGATGTAACTACATAAAATCAAAAGAAATACACCTAGGCCACTATAGGGCCTGTTGCTCCTTTCCATGAAATATGTTTGTTGGTGAAAACAAAAACCTTATATAGTATTCTATGAATGTTCAGAAACTCAGTTTCCTGGACGTAATTCCTAAGAATTTTCCAATCATTTTTCGTTAGGGAAGTCATATCCGGAATAGTATCACTATTTGGCTCAAATTTCGGCGAAAGCCTGTCAATGGTAAAGAAAGTACTCCAGAGTTTCACGCTCCTCTTGTATAGTTGTGCCCTTAGTCCTGTGTGTTCACTTAGAATACGTACCATCATATTTACCTCAGACTTGCTCATTTTGAGGAGCCTTCGTCCTTCTCTCGTTAGGGTCACCGATCCTATGGGTGAATTTGTGGTTCTACACACCGTTTAATTATTCCAAAATTATTCCTGCTCTCGTTAGAGTCACCCATAGCATATTTGTGGTTCTACACGTTTCATTATTCCAAGAGGCTTTGTGGGATTCTCAAATAGTTCCGCATTCTTCATATTAACTACATCAAGCTGCTGTCCCTTTAAAGCAATTACATTCGCCCTTTCGTTGCCGACTACTCCCGAGTGGCGTAGTACTCATATCATGTAAACCTTACCTCTGGAAGATTATTCGATTAGAGCATTCTTACAATTCAATACGGTCTAAGATTTTACTTTATCACCTGATATCGCACTAATTGTTTTCTGGATGTCGGGAAATTTGTTAAGCGCTATTGGCGCCATATTTATTTTAATCTAATTTACGCATTCCGTTATTACTAGGACTTCTGCCTGGTGTTGTGGTTAGGTTAACGGTATTATATTTCTGTTTCTGGGTCTTCAATACCCCAAGCCCGGTTTATTCTTTCGGGTATTTGCTCTAATATTCCGCTGGACCACTTACTTGACCACCACCACTTAAACCTAAGCAGCATGTACGCTGAACGCGCTTTAATAGTTTAATATTACACTTTTTGTCCAAAGAAGTCCGTCAGATTATTGAAGCATAAATTAGAATTAGATAGTAGGAATATGGCCCCATTTCATGCCTATGGTTCTCCCACATAGCGCTATGCACCGATGTGCCTTGAAAGACTTTAGTATGACGCATGTTTTGTAGCATTATGTTCAAAAAAACCGAATTTTGGATTATGCCAGTCTTGTAGTAAATAAGCGATATGTATGTACGTGCAGTAATTTTTAAACCATCAGTGGAAACTTTCAATAGCGTTGTTTTCCTAGGCCCTTAATAATTCACGAAGAGTCGGTTCCATGAGAGCAATTGCTTATTGTAAGAATCATTCATTAAAAATTACTGAAAATTCAAACATTTTATTTAAATTAGTTGTTATTTTTAGAAAAAGGTCAACTAAAATTTTAAGTAAAATGTTTAAGAATAAAACTAACAATTTCGCAATGAGTTTATCGTAGAAACCTTAAAATTACACATCAATCCTCATAAAATTTGGTAGAGAGATAAAGGCTACAGTAATAACATTCTAGAAATTAGATTTTTAAAAACATCAATTTAACAATAAAAATTTTATTAATATATTCCTTATTTATAGATATTACACGGTATTATAACGGGTATTGCATATTACATGGCAGACAGAATGCAAATGTCCAAAATAAATAACTTAATTTCAAAATATACTGGAGTTGCAGCCATTCCACTTAATCCACCTCCACACGTTCGTTCTGATGTAATATAGAAAAAGTGCCTTCAATCAGTTCGACAGTAGTAGTTGCCTAGAACCGAAATGATTTTGTTGGGCAAATTCTTGAACAACAGCGCGATTAAGATTTTCAAAACGTGGTTGAAATCGTCGTTTAAATATTAAAATACTTAAAATAATCGAATAGACAAATGTAATAAACTGAAACCAAAGGTATTAAATAAAAGAATGATTAATAATAAACAGAAATTTATATATCGTCTCAATATTTGGAGAAGAGTATATTGGATTTGTGTGACATTTGGTGTAATGCCAGAAATTTTATTTACATTGTAGTACTAATATTAGTCTGAATCAGAAGCATTGAGGTTAATATTACGGGACTATTATATCAATGTCACAATAATCCGAAATACTTCTATTTATATCTATTTACCTCGGTTATAAGAAGCGCCCAGTTAAATAAAACATGACGATGTATAGCGAATTTGTAAGATCTCCATACTGTATCCAAACATCCGACATTATTTAGTTGATGAACTCTGGCGGCTAAAACATCATCATCGGTTTCAATATTCGAAGCGTAACAACTTTCGGGTATTGATAAGTGTTTATACGAGTAATCGTGAGCATTAAACAAACCACAACAGTAATGCTGAAAATAATAAGATTTATAAAATTCAACAATTTTAGGTAAAAATATTGGAACTGCCTGAACTCATTGAAAACATGTTACGGCACTTTCTGAGTATTTTAATTTTAAAACGTTATATACATATTTCTTTAAAACTTACTTGTAACTGAATTGAATCCATATATTTTGGTTGTGTCTCAACTAAACGCCATGCTGATTCCAAGTCTTTCAAATTGTTGAAATAAAATTCATGCGGTTGAAATGAACGTATTTGTAAATATTGTATGATCAGCAACGCCAATATAAATATTGAGTACTGTAAAAAATAGTGAAGAAATTATCTGGGTCCGTCTCGCCTCAATCATAAAAAAATAAAATTTCATCGATCCTTTCCATATCGAAATTTTTCAATACGATTCGTCCTAATATTTATAGGTTTTGAAAAACTGCTGATATCAATTAGGGTTCAAACCACTAATTGATATCAAACAAAATAAAATTTTATTGCTAATGACCACTCATTACTAGACAATAATAGTATCTAATGCCTGGAAAAAGGGTAGAGTCATCCCTATACTAAAACCAGAGAAGAACGCGATAATCGATCCTCCCCTCTTCCCAGCTGTCCAGCTATCTAACAGTAGCCCGACATCAATATGGATTCCATAAGATGCACAGCACCACCCCAGTCATAGCCACAAAGATCTCACAGCGCATAAACCAGCTGAGGATTTGTGAAAGGGCACTTCTAGTGGAGCTGAACTTATTGAAGGCTTTTGATACAGTCAGCCATACCACACTCTTCCAGGACGTCTTGCAGTCCACCATGCCCAACAACTTGAAGAGATGTATTGCGAATTATCTGAATGGTCGTCGTCATTTGTTGGAGTACCACAGGGCGGTGTCCAATCCCCCTTACTGTTTAACTTCTACCTCTCTAAACTCCCCACACCTTCACAAAGTGTCGAAGTTATATAATATGCGGACGACTGTACCATTATGTAAATAACCTCGGAGCACCACCTACTCGACATTAAGTTCCTCCTCGAAGTCAAGGAACTTTATGTCATCTTTAACATCTCACAATTGGATGCTCCCCCGAGGCATGTCAGGAAGAATCTTCGTGTATACGAAGATATGTGCAACGGTTTGAGGTTACCTCATGAATGTCGTTCTTGGAGGTCGCCCATCGCCTATAGCTGAAATAGAAATAAAACAACAGTTGCTCTGGCACAACTGAGATCGGGTTGGAGCAACAGGCTTAACGCCTACTGGTGCCCCATAGACCGTGCCGATTTTTGATGGGTTACTACTGGGTTATTTAAATGGTGGTTGAAATAAATTATTTCAAAACACAGACTCTCTTCAGTGATTAATATTACATAGGTCATATAGTTTAACCCGCAGACCAGAATATGTCCATCACATCAGATTTTCGAGATATCTTAGCTTGAAAAACCGACTTTTTCGCCTTATTCGATATGTTACAAAAGCGCGAAGTCACCTCAATTTAAAAAGTTTGTTCTCTCTATTGACTTCTGGACATCACAGTATTTAATGGCAAATTTAGTTTATACTTGGAATGGGGTTTTTGGCTTACAGAAACCTGTGTAATTATCAGTTAAATATGCCTTTAAATGATGTCAAGACGATAGACCTTTATTGATCCATTTATCGGTTAAGGGTAACCCATTCGAATATTAATTTCAATTTAATTGCTAATATTTAATTTATAAATTCGTTCTATTAGTTTAACATTAAAGATACTGAAAAAGAAATGTTTTTATAATTTGTAAACCTTTTTATTTGTGCTTACAGTAAATTAATGTAATACGATTATTTAAAGCCTTAAAAACTACCCATCAAGAGTATCCTCTAAATAAAAATTTAGTTTGTAAAGAATGACCTAACTCAGTCGTTAAAAGCCATCTCATGGGATATATTAAAAGAATATATTTCAGTTGACATTACCCAATATAAAATGACTGTAAGTATTTTATTTGTAGGAGTTTAAATTTAAAAAGGTCAACACACCTTTATTACCGCAAAACCCACGCATTAAAAAGTATCCATAATACTGTTATTTTTTTTTTCTTATATCCTTCCGTCTAGACAATTTAGTTTCCATACTCTCATACTTATATTTTAAATAAATTCTACTTACAATGACATTTATGCCAAAAACTTCACTAAACACACCATAGCAGCCAATAATTGTGGTCAAGCACAGAAGAGAACACAGCAAAATGGCCAAAATAAAAAATGTATGAGCATCAGTGCCCGGTTGTGAATCTTTAAAGCCCACTGCATTCAAACTAATAGCGCCAATGCCAAGAAACTAAAAGTATTCAAAATAATTGATGGATAATGTATTTGATGGTAAATTTAAAGCCAACTTACCAGACATATTTTATTTAGGGCGAAAACAAACCATTTGACAGTAGTAAATGCTACTCCCATTTTTTAAATTCAGTAAATTTTATTATTTAAAAATATATAATTATGTATATCGATTACGTTATAATACTTCTTTATTCTTTAAATATTTTTTATTAATGATAAAGTTGTATTTTGCAGCAGACGATAGAATAACAATGCTCTTTAAGAAGCTTTAAAAGATAATGAATCATGTAGCATCATCCACACATTTAATTGATAATGATTTTTTAATTTCGTCTTTAGTACAAAAATTATACTTGGTATTGAAACAAAATAAAACATTAAAAATATAAATATTGTAGAGAAATTTTAAACATTTGACCCCAACAATGCTGGAATGCGCCAACAAAAAGCAATACTTAAAGGTAACAAAGAATTTTGGATCGTATTTATTATTTATTAAACCCACCAGACAAAATGGCGGTATATTGAATATGTCGTTTCTTTTGTAACACTTCGAAATATCGAAGTGGAAGTCCGAATTATTGACTTTAAAGTATCGATTAAACCTCTTCTATATCTTGTTTTTCTTTATTACAAATATAAGTATATATTAACCTTGAAAGTTTTGTTATGCCACAGAGAAAGATTTTACATCTAAGGAGCAAGGATCCAAGGAGCCTGTGAGTACGATGTTAGTCACCAATAGGGTTAAATATCAAGGCGTTATCCTTAATCGGAAACTAAAATGGAAATACCACATTGAGGAAAGAAGCAATAATGCACATCGATTTTTAGCTTTATATAGAAGAATCGTAAGCTCGAAATAGGGTGTTTGTCCAGTTATGACACTATTATGAATAATAGTTAGACCAATTGGCAATTTTTGGGGGTTTTATATATTTCCTATGAAAATCAACAAAGTTCCTGACATGCCTCGTGAGTATACAAATTGTGATGTTTATGTTAGTATGACTTTTCCGATGACATCTCAGGAGGAACTATTTAGTCAACATGACATTGTGTTAGTTTCCTCTTGCAGGTGATTTTCCGAGGTAATTTGTAGACAGCCTGTTACAGTCCTTAGGGCGGCATTTTGGGAGCTTTGAATGTTTCTCCACTGAACGTAGGTGACCACACTGGAGCAGCATAATTAACCACTGACCGAACAATCGTTTTATATATAGTTAACAAGGTTTCTTTATCCATACCCCAAGTGCTGCCGGCTAGCGCTTTGAGGACCTTGATTCCATTTCGCAATTTGTGCGTGATTGCAGTGGCGTAAGCTGAGGAAGTAAAGACCACGATGCCGAGGGTTAGGTTTACTAACCCTCGTCGACTTCGTTGTTGTCGACTTCGCTGGTGATAATTACAGGTTACGCGCAGTGAAGAACTGATGTCTTTCGTGGAGATAACCATTCACCAGAACGCATAATTCTTCAATGTTGTGGACCGTCGCCATAATTGTACAGTCGTCCGCATATGAAATCGCGTCCACGACTTGTGGAGGTGTGGGGAGCTTTGAGAGGTAGAAGTTAAACAAAAGTGGCGATAGTACTTTACCTTTAGGTATGCCTTGTTTAAACTCTACGAACGACTGACGTCCACTCAGATAATTTAAGGTCCATCTCTTCGTGTTGTTGAGAATTGTGGATTGCAGGATATCCTCGAAGAGTGTGGCGTGACTGACAGGTCAAGATACTAGAAACAGCTGGGGAAGGAGGGATGCGGATTGTATGATTGTCCCTCCGCCGCGTCTTTTCCAGGTTTTTAAATGGGAACGATTCTACACTTTTTCGAGGCTTCGGGTATTACGAGGCTGCTCACTGACTTGTTGAAAACCCCGTTCGCCAAGGTGTTTTAACATCAGCATGGACATTCCGTCTGGTCCAATCGCCTTAGATAGTTTGGCGTTGTTGATGACGTCTGCAACTGGGGTGAAGGGTTGTTGTATGTCCGTGACTGAAATTTTGTGAAGTTTCTAGGTGCTCAATGAATTGCCGGCAAAATGCGAGCGAGCCTGTCATCCTTCTTCGTCGGGTTGGAGAGAGATCGAACTGTAGACCACAACTTACTAACACCCGAACTCAAGTTGCAGTTCTTTAAGTGATCTAGCCATCTTTTCCGCTTGTCCTCATTTACCAACCTACTGATTTCAAGGTTCAGCTGGGCGAGCAGGTATAAAGCGAGCAGCTGCTGAGATTACGGTTTCACGGAAATTCCTCTCTGCATGGTGGACGTTAGAGGGAAAATTTAGATCACTGAAGCACTCGCATTGGTGATGTCGGTCGAGCTCGAGCAGGCACCCATAATCCGTGTGGGGGCATCATTATTCAGGGTGCAGAAGATGAACTCGTCAATCTGTTCCGCCAGCAACGCACCTCTCTGGTCTTCCCCTAAACAAGAGTGCTAGAGCTGATGATGGGCGTTAAAGTCCCCTAGGACAAGACGTATATCGCCGTCTAACAACGTTCTGATGTCGGAACGGTAGCCTGCTGAACAACTGGCTACTGGGGGAATATAGACATAGAGCTTTAAGTCGGTTTCTCCCGATCTAACTTCAATACCGTGAACTTAAAGATATTGGTCTATGGAGTTAGAATCGAGAGAAAGAGCAGTTATGAATTATGAAAGCAATGCCTACACCGTTATTTCTGGTGCGGTCTTTTCGGAGAATGTTGTATCCGTTACAACTTTGTAGACTGGAATTGTTCGTCAGTTTCGTCTCCTGGACCGCAGCGACCACGATGCATGTTTTGGGTTATGTCGGAAATTTTATTTTGAAGGCCATTGCAGTTGAACTCCAATATGGATATCATCTCAGGTCTCCGAAGTGCAATGGAAGGTGTTCGCGGCGACGATAATTTTTGTTGCTGCTGCTGTTGTGATTGCAGAGGAGAGGGGCGGAAGAGTAGTGGAACACACTGGAGCACACTATCTTTCATTTCCAGGCTTTCGTTAATATTAGATCCAAATAATTATATAATTATAAATATAAAAACGAACACACAACAGGCTCGATAGCACGAATTTTTTTCCGGCCTGATATAACGCTAATCTAACCACATAATGGGCCTGTTCGAGGTGCATCACTGCACTGCATATGATGAGAAGCCGATGCGCATTTTGTCATTTATTTAGGGTAAATAAAACTAAATTTTATTAAACTAATTAAAATATAAATATTTACACATTTACTGTATCAGCTTATTTGTGATGCATGCATAACATTGTTTTTTGCGCATAATACATGCAATTCCGAACGCACTGCGCATCAGATGCAGTACATTAAACAGGCCAAATATCTTTAAAAATTAATATATTTAATCATTAAGGTCACTTCCCAATAGTTGTTAAGTTTGTAAAACAAACTGTATCATTAAAAAATGTTTAGTTTGTCATAGACACTTTTTAAAAATTTTTTAGCTGCTTGCAGATTTTAAATATGAATACTTTAACACCTGAGCACGACATCACTCCCAACTATTACGCAAAATACAACTTCTAAATTTTACCCATAAAATACTGCATAGAAATTAGAAAAATGTATGTAAGTAAAATTTAAACAAAAAAGTTTATTAGTTACTATGAATCTTAAAAATATATTTAATGTGTATACATACTTAAAACTACATGCTTAAGTAAATGTTAGTGTAGGTTTTACAATTTTTAATGGAGTAAACTTAAAATAAGAGTAAATTTAAATTATGTTAAAAAATATAAATCAACAGATTTGCTACAGATACTATGATAATTCTCACTCGAAATATAAATATTTACAAAAAGAAAAAATATATATAGTTGCTGTTGTATCGTAATTTTTAAAAAATATTAAATTCATGTTTCGAAATCATGTGAATGTGTGTTTTTTGTAGGATAAATCGTATTGCTTAAATAACAAAAACTAAATTAGGAAAACATAAGTAAAACCTGTGATACACGGTTGTCAGATCTTACAACGTTGTCAGTAAAATGTGCAGAAAATATCTAACAATAGTGTGAACTTTTAATTTTTCTTTTGCAACGTTGTCACAAAAAGCATTACTGTCAATGTTGCAAGACAAAATTTGTAAGTTGACACTGTTGTTAGACATTTTCCGCACATTTTACTGCCAACGCTGTAAGATCTAACAACCGTGTATACATAGCTTAAGAAGTTTAATTCAATTAATCATGCATCACCATCAATATTATTCAAATAAAAAAAATATCACATTTAGTATTCGCTGGTGTTGTAGAAATTGAAGTTTTTCTTTTTTTTTTTTTTAATTTACTCTAAAAATTGTCTAATTGCTCTAAATTAATTGCATTATTTTCTTTTCAATTTTAGTTTCGGTGTAAAGTTACAATTTACAGTGGTGGTGGTGGTATCTTGGCAATGTACATTACTTTACATTTTCCATGGCAGTGGTATAAGTCCCCATTTTTGGGTAATATCATTGAAATTACATTCCATGGCCACGACTATTTTTTCCTGCAAGTGTGTTTTTACCGACACGGTTGCTTTCAGTGTTAAACAAAGTTGATTGCTACGATGACTTATGTGTTGAGTCTGGAAATAAAATAAGCATTAAAACTAATAATGAAACTAAGTTTGTTTTTAAACTTACATCCATATCATAATTCCACAATTGACGTGGATCATTAGAACAAGGCGTTAGATGAACATTTGATGTTGTTGCATTACGATTTTTAAGCATTTTTATTACACTTTGTTTGGGTTCATTATATGTCAGGCAAATATTGTTATTTGTCATCACTTTACCAGTGGGAGTTATAACGAATATGTCCATGGTTTGAGAGTGAGCATTACAATCTCCCACGGTTACCGGTTGCACAGAAGTGCGTGGAGCATCATCTTTAGCCGGTCTCAAACATTTATCACGATCCAAATCGATTAGACTCATAAACATTTCCGAATTACTCTCGATTTCATCAAAAACTCTTGGCCACTCACGAGATAAAAGACGTCCAGGTATATTTTTCATATGATTGCTATAGGCCTGAGCACATTCTGTCTCACCATCCAACCAAATGATTTTGCCAAAGAAACGATCATGATCGGGGAAGAAATGATCTGGCCAAATGTTGTGCAAATACCAAGAAAATGGTTTGCATTGAAGCTGTTCGCGTAAGGCTAAGCGGTTGCTAATATTGATTTTATCCTGCATAGAAACAGTAAGTCCTGCTGTATAAAGCATTGTGAAATATTTCCATTCGTCCATCCATACCATGGCAGCGCGAGCTAAATTTTGACCCAAAACTTCGCTCATGCCACCAGGGAATGTATAGGGAGTAGTGCTACGAAAAACATGACCAACATGAGAGCAAGGACTAATTTCCACACTACCGCCACATTGCCAAATGCGAAAAGACATTTCCACATTCTCACCACCCCAAATCTAAGGAAAAATTCCAAAAACCGTTTAAAATCTTTTGAAAAATATTTTAGATTTTTTAATTTACCTTCATTTCTTCATCATAAGCTCCCATTTCATAGAAATAATTGCGGTCAATTGCAAATAAACCTCCCGCCATTGCAGGTGTCATGATTGGCTTAGTGGGATTATCTTTTAATGACATACCTTTACGTTCATTCGAAAACCATCTAAAACTTAACTGCCAGTTAAATGCTCCCCAATGATTTTCAAATGTCTTCGTATAACTAAAGTTATCATCTGATATGATATCGATAACTGGGCATATAACACTAGTGCGTGATTCTTTAATACGCTGCAATAACGGTTCCATCCATCCCCTCGAACATTCACAATGAGCATCGAGGAATGTTAGGACATCACCGCGTGCATGTTTAGCACCCATTAAACGAGCTGGCACCAGACCACCTCGAGATGGCATACGGAAGATGCGAGTTGGGACGGTTAATACTTTTACATAACTTTCCAGTTGCTTTTTCAAATAGGCTACAATAAGATACAACTCATGTTAATACATTAAATTAAATAAATTTTAAATCAATCACCCCTATTTCGCATTTCAATTACATTTACGCATTCAGTTACGCAACGATCGATATAAGGTATTCCAACAAAAAACTGAATCGTAAGAAAAAGAAGAAGCAATTGCATTTCGTTTCAATGCTTGTGTGTATTCTGCATTACGATTGTAGCTACTTTTTTGTAAGTTGTTGTTTATGCGGTGGAGACTCTAACCGAAATGCAGAATACCAACGGAGAAAATTTCGATTCGAATTGAAATGCAGAATAGGGGTGAATATTTCACTACTTACATCGATCACTCGCATCGTCCACCAATATTATTTCCTTTAATAGTCTTCTGGGTGTGCGATTTATAACACTCGTTAGTGTTCTTAATAGAACCGACCAAGCTTCATTGTGGAACACAATAATAACCGATGTTGTCGGCAACTCTTCAACTTTGTAATGTATATCACGACATCTAAAACAAAAAAAGAATTTATTAGCTAGGACTTAACCTTAAAATTAAAAACTCTTATAACTTTAATAAGTTTGAATGGATCACAATAACAGACGAAAATATGTACAAAAAAGTTAATTACTAAAGATTTTAATTGATATTTTTTACCATAAAGTGTAGTTCTGTAAAATATTAATGTCATAGGACAACATTTACCATAACGTTTCTGAAGTTTGAACATAAAATTCCAATCGAAAATGCTATTTGAATTCATATAAAACTTGGCTTATTGCCTTTTAAATATTAGATATTCAACTACACATAATAATATTTTTTAGATCTTACAGAATATTTTAATATTAATAAGGTTTTTTTAACTTACAATTTGTAAAACAAAATAAAAGTTATAAAAATAATTAAATCACATATGCAGTTTTTATATAATCAATTGTGAAAATCTAACTCATCCATTCAGTTACTTATTCATTACCACTAACTGTATTTTGCCAATTGTACTAGGAAATAAATACTAAACACCTTTCAATGCATATATTATTAATATAGTATGTATGTAGTAGAAAAAACTTATTAAATGTACATATTTGTATTCACAGAAGTTATAATTATACGACATTTAAAATTATTATTATTACAAGTGCAAAAATTTATTAGATCTTTCTCATCTTTAACTAATTTATAATGAAGAAAATTTATTACTTTACTTTTATTATTTGCCAATAAAAAAGTACATACATATGTATATGTATTAAATGATTTTGTCGCAAGTAAAATTTTATAACCCTGCACGGTGATCAATTCCGGACAAAAATCTTTAATTTCTTAAAGCTGAAATTTTGTATTTCAAATTCAAAAGAACGTATTTGACACCACAATAAAATGTTGCCCAAGTAAGCATTGATGTCTCAAAAGCATCGTTATCAATCATATTGTAGACCAGAAAAAAATTTGGAATTTGTTCTAAATTAAGTAGGTAGATCTAAAACCATCCGAAACAGATACAGTTAAGATTATTGAACATTAACCTCGGAACTAAACGCCATTGTGTAATTCTATAATATTTATAATAGCATATTTAAGTGACTAATTCTTTGTTATGAGTTATACATTAGTTATACACTTCATCAAGAGCAAGGTTACATATATTAGCTTCAAAACAACGTCTTGAAACGGGTTTAAACATTTCTATAACTTTAAAATCAATCAAGAATTAAATAAATTTAATTTATCGATAAATAAGGTTTAAATTATTGATTTATGATTACTATTTATGTTGACTATTACGTTACGAGATTTCACTTCGATAAACGCTTATTCGTTTGGATCCGGAGAGGAATTCTGTGTCAAGTCGCACTCATACAATGGTAACGAATGTTTACACTGATGGCTCCAAGAGAAGCTTAAGTTTGGGACCAAGTCCTCTATTAAGTTACTTAAGTATTGTAGTGTTTTAAGACAGAAATAGAACGAGCGACAAATCTAGCAGGTGTCTTCACGATATAGTAACCGAAGAATGCCGTGTATCTCTAAATGAGATAGCGAGACATTCCAGGATAACGCTAATATGGGTCATAACAACTGTCAATGGTGCGATGAGGAGTGATGATAAAATCGTCGCCGTTACTAGTTTTTGCATTACTATATATAGGCAATAGTTCGAACAGAACTACATATATGAAATGGCTGGTTTGCCGAAAATACTTGGAGGAACTCCTGGACTCTGCAGATGCCTTTACGTCAAGCTTATTGTTTTTGTAGTTTTCATAGCGAGCAGATATGAACGCTGTTATTAATATTAACGGGACACCGTTGTATTCGCAATCATGCCAGGAGAATGGTTCTGGAGTACAATGACTACCCCAGGAGTTGTCACAATGAGAAGGAATAGGAGATTATATCTCATCTCCTCAGCTATTCTCTGAGAACATTACATTGATTCTGCTCTTCTTTCATGTATGTATAAGCTATCTTGTATGAATCTTAAGCCTTTAACACAAGAATGAAGACCAGTAAGGCATCATAACAGGACGACAATAAGGCGAACCGTTCAGATAAAGTGGCCTTTATATGTACCTAAAACTTAACATAATTAATGAAATACAAACGAATAAAATTTAACATTTGATCGGTTCAATTTCATATACACAGCCCAATAAATTATTAAACTTAGCTGCGCTAAATCCGAACATGACCTCACTCATAACAAGTTTTCGAGATATCGTGTCCTAAAGTTAAAAAAATCATTTTGGGTTATGAGTTATTTTAAGGTATTTTCAGACTACAATACTGAGTATTAACACACTTCAAATTAAAAATATTATGAAAATAATTCGCATTTTCAAAAAATCAATCCGAAAAATACATTTTATGTTTACACTATAATATTTGTAATATTTTTTATCCAATTTTCAATTATTTATGCACTTTTCGTTCTTATTTTTAATGTATTTTACACTTTTTGTTTGTTTTTTATTGTATTTATAAAATACATACCGAATACGTTTGAAAATAAAAAGTTTTTGAATTGTTTTAAAAAATTTATGAATACCGACCGTATGCTAAAAAAAATCAGTAATACTTCTGAAAATCAAATTACAAATTATATTTAGACTAGTAAATTGTATTATGATACAAAAATTTTTGACATGTATTAATACTCAGTATTGTAGTCTGAAAATACCTTTAAAAATATCAAAATATTTTTTTTTTTAATTTTTACAGAAATTCCTAAAATTGTCTGTTCTACGGTGCACATTAAGGTCTAGACGTTTTTGTGACAAATTAATTTAATGTGCATACTTTAATTGTTGCAAACAAGTATAATTTTCAATTATTTTTATTAAATAAATTTTCTTATCTTATTAAAGTAAACAAATAAAAATAATTTTAATTCGAGTCTAATTAAACTTTCAAATAATTAAGAATTATAATAAAATAAAACGACAAACAAATTATTTTAAGAATAATTTATATAGTTAAAATTTCAGAAAAGTTTCCACAATTGAAAACAAGCAAATAATCCTGAATAAAAAAAGTAATTATCATCATCAACAGCAGTAGCAGCAGCCTCATTAAACATCTTTTAATAATTTAACATGACCATTTAAAATGATTATAAACATTTGCCATAATATCAACGACTACCATAAAAAATAAGAAAAAATTAACGAATATTTTTAACAATAACTGAGAAACTAATACAAGAGAAGTACCTAATAAGCAGACATATAATTAATAAATATACGTATTTTTTTAACAAAACAAAATAATATTTAAAAAAAAAAACACATAAACTTAAGATTTCCGAAAAAAAATCACAAAACTATACAAATTATTAAAAATTATAAGTATTAAATAAAATAAAAAAAAACAGAAATAAATTATAGTTTGTGGTAAAAAGCCAATGACTTGCATTGAATTTAACAAAACAATACAGCAGCCTGCTACATTTAGCTGACAACTGGTAGCGTTTTAATGTAGTTGTTTATTTTTTTCTTTTTAAAAGTTATTAACTATTGTTATTTACTTTAAATAACTTTTTATTTCTTAATTTTGTTTTTTGTATAATTTCCACAAAAAAAAAACTGCGTTTTACTTTTAAAACTTCAATTGTACTTACTCTTTGGTTCTATAATCTTTGAGTGTACGATTCAATGGTATACGATCACTGGCCAATATATTAAAACTGTTAAGTCTAAAAAAACGTTGCATACGATAACGTTCTCTAGATGGTATAACCACAGGACGACCTTCTGCTCCTTCTCCTTGTATGGGACTAAACAAATTAATGTTATAGTCATCTAAAAGAAAATAAATATTTTATTATTGTTTATTATTATCATTCTTTTCTAATTAAAATTTATGGAAATTTTTAAATTATGTAGATAATACAATAAGACAACTTTTTCTAAAATGGTATTAAATATGTTTGTTTTTTATTTTTGTTAACATTTATAAAAACACACGCATAAATGGTAAATCAAAAAGTGGTTTGATCGAATGCATTTATTTTTAATTTGAATAAAAATATTTTTCCCTTTTAAAACTAAAACCTTGAAATTTAAAGATATCAATAATAATTTAAATATAAAGACATCAATATATAGAGTCATAATCAAGTTATTAAAAATAATAGTGCATTTGGAAAAATAAGGAAAATTCCAATTTAGGATTTAGTTTTTAATTAGGAGTATGGCTAGACGGAGAACAAAACTAAAAACCAAATTATCAGAAAACAACAGCGTAAATCGAGACTTTGGTATGTGAACTTGAACTATTTAAAAGTTATTTACTAAACATAAAAATATGCATTTAGTTAACATAAGAAGCGTGGGCATTATGGTTTTTTTAGTTTTTTTTTTTTTAATTTATTAGTCTGCAAACACGTGTATAAATACAAGTATGTACATTAGAGGTGTCCAAAAGTATCGATTTTCTCTGATGCGTCTTATTTTGTTATTTGGTTTTCTAAAACGTACTAGTGTCATTTTAGGCAAATCGGATAACGGGAACCCGTACCGGATATTTGAACAAAATCTTATCTTCTAACACCCCAGACTAAGAGTTTAACCACTAATATGTGTAGTTTCCTAAAAGGAACGCGTTGATTGCATTTGATTTAATGTTTGATAGAGCGCAATCTTCAATGATAGATCCTAAAACGAATTCGACACAGGTGCCTATGTTTACTTGATAGATGGCGACATAAGGTGACGTATAGACATCCGTACTAATGTGGTGTCTTTCAGACAGAGGTCTTAGCGAAGTGGAAGGCCGTCTTACATAATTTGGTTGTCGGAGGCGATAGTTTTATTGCCAAGGGAACCAGATTGCTGTTAGGATTGGGCATGCGGAGTACAAGTATTCTAGAAGGAGGTAATCTGGTCTGGTAATACACAGCTTATGGTAGCTTTTGCGAGAACAAAGAGGAGCTTGATACATATTTTATGCAACTGAAATAAAGTACATAGTCTTAGAGGGAGAGGCTAGGAACTATTCATGATGAACTAAGAGATGTAGGTTTTATCAGAGGAAAAGAACGGCTATTCAGTACCAGAAGTATTTCTTCCAAGACTATTTACTTTTTTTACAATCTGGATAGGAATTCAAGGCTTCACACTTTTCTCTTTAACTTTTCTATATTCTTTCTACTTATTTTTTGTTTCTTCTCAAAGGTAATCACAATGGACCTTTTGAGTCTTCAAATAAATTGAAATAATACTATTATCGATTACATCATTCGACAAAAAGATAAAAAATTCATTAGACTCTAACCAGATGATATATGTACATTCGTCTGAAACTAAAAATTTAATGGAGTAAAACAGAGTTTTTTGTTATTCATTTCGTGATCCTGTGTCCTTTTTAAAGGACATCTAGGTTTTAAAAAGTACATTTTTCAAAAAATATTTTAAACAATGCCAAATTTGATGTCAAGCGAACAGGAAGAATTGGGAAATATTTTGTATTATCTTTATATTATACTTTCAGGGTCAAAAGATATCAAAAATGTCGTGTTTTATGAGTGTCGGACGGTGTTATACTTAATGTATTTACAATGATAATTTTGGAAATCTGTTGTGATTCACCAGATTCATATTCCCATTTTAGCATATTTTTACTTAACGTATTTTGATAAATCTTATAGAAATAATTTACTAATCTTTTCAACTATCAAGTAGTAAAATTACATGTTCTTTGTCGTATTATATGAAATTTCTTCTAAAAATTTACTTAACAAAACTGTAAAATATTTCACATTTTTAATTACACATACAATTCGATGTAATATAAAATACAAGTATTATTCTAACAATATAACGGAAGAAACTTAACTGGATAAAAACCTGGAAATATTTTTTTTTTTACTTATTTCAAGATTCTAACTAAAATAATTGTGTACAGAAACTTCTTGATTTTTAATGAGATAATTAAAAAAACTAGTATATACAAATAGTAAGATTATAATAAAAGCTGCTTATGGCTATAACAAGTTCCTCTTCATTATTATTTTTTTAGTTGTTTTAATTATGAAACACAACGTTACAGATTTAAATATAATGAAACCATTAAACTACTTCTTTTTCAAAGAAATTTGTTATGGTTTTTTTGAAGTTTTTGTCTTCATTTTTTTTTTTTTTGGTTAGTGTTTATAGTTTGTTTTTTGTTTATGTTATAGTTAAAGTAGTTTAAATAAATAAACAAGAATATGAAGTACATACCAGCGGTCATATTACCAAATATATCACCCTTGCCTATATAATGGGCGACAACATTTTTAATAGGCCAAATTGAACGTTTTTTAGGTGGTTTCGGTTGTCTGCAAAACAAGAAAACCAGTTAAATAAATATATATAAAAAAACTAAAACAATGATGATTAACAAAAATGAAGATGATCATATGTTTATTGAAAACACAGAAAATTAATAAAACAAAAAAAAAATTATCGACCTCATATCATAGGAGAGAGAGAGGGGGAATCATACAACAGTGAACACAATAACAAAAAAAAAACTACTTAAACTCATGGTGAGTAACCGTGGTAGTAGAAGTAGTTTTAAAATAAAAACAATGGCCTAATATGAACTCGACTCAAGTTATGTTAGCGCTAAAAACTAAACACTATTTAACCAAACTAAGAAACTACTTAACTGTATTATCATGCAAATGTCTAACACTTCGTAGAATATAAACAGAGAGGCGAGAAGAAGTGAAGAGACTTGAGTGGATTTGTATGTAATAATGGAAAATATGTGGCAAATAATTCAATATTAAAGAAACAAGTTAAAACATTTATATGTATGTATGTATATTTACGACAATTCAATACGATCAATTTGCATTTGATGATACCAAAGTTGTAGTTTTTTGTTCAAACTATTTTGGTATTTTTATAAATTTAATAATTATAATAATTTAAATATTAATAGTAACAAATAAAAATTGATTGTATGGAGTGTGAAAAAGACATTCTCAATTAATAAACGTTATTTGACTTGTGAATAAATAATTCAATAATAATAATATTTTTGCACATTTAAAAAAGAATTATTATTGTAGTAATGAGTCAGTCTTAAGAAGCCAACAAACTTTGAAAAGTAATAAATAGCTAGAGAAAGTGAAATTCTTAACAAATATTTCAGCAATACAATAGAATTATTTAGACAAAAAACTTCGAGATGATTGAAAAATAAATACAAACTGTTTGCATAATTTACCTAATACAGAACCTAAAATGATAATGCCATAAATATCCATAGAATCCAAACTTATATTCAAGTTTAAATCAGGTTTTTTTCGAATTGTACAAAAAATATTTTATAATTAATAAAAAAAACTGAAAAAGATAAATATTCAAGTTGATAGAAGTCCATAAATAAAAAAATGCTAATTTTTGTCTACAAAAACATAATTTTCTGTAAAATTTCTTTAAATTTAAAATTAAACAAAATTTACAAAATAAATTTCATAAAATTTGTTTATTGGTCTGCGATTGAACCAAGTTTTTTGTAAGATTAAAAAACAGGTTAATTTTTGTAAGCCAAATATAACAGTTATATGTATATAACGTATTTATATGGTTTACTTTTTAAAATGTACACATAATACAACTCCTTTTAACGAAGAAGTAAAGAAAAACATTAAAATCAGATTACAAATATTGAATATGGGTCAGCATTACACAGTGAAAATATTGATTGATATGCAGTGTAATGTAGTAATTGCATAAACAATGCACGTTTTTTATAAAATATTTGCAGTTTTTGAAAAGTTTCTAAATCTATAGACTTTGTAATAATCAAGGTCTATAGACCTAAGAGAAATTTTTGAAAATAAAAAAAGAAAAATTGAAAAGCAATAATTATTAATTCCCTATTTTCACTTTCTCTTCAATTAATTTCCAAAGTCATTAATTCATTTTAAAAATAAAATTGTAAACAAAAAATTTTTAATTTTAATCTCTGTATAGACGCTCAGATGTTTATTAATTCATTTGCAAAATATTTTTAAGGTGATAATTATTTTGCTATTTTATTAAATTTACCAACACATATTTATTATTTGCATTCCATTTACTAAAAAATATAATAAATCTAACATTTTTTTGTAGAAAACAATTTATCAATGAAATCGATTCATACTATTTGTAAATAAAAACAAATAATAGCGGATTTTTGCAAATTTATGAAATAGGTCGCACTCATCTTAAATAAAGAAATATACTATTTTTTGCACTTATAATTTATTTTAGATTTAGGTTAAGAAGGGTTATATACCATAAAAAATAGTGCATATCCACTCGGAGACCTTAAGGTCCATTGTGATTCCCTTCAAATAGTGAAGATTCAAAAACAGAAAAAGAAAAGAAAAAATACTACAAGTAAAACCAGAGAAGAAGGTAAAAGGATAGATATAATTAACAAGTCATTACCCCAAAGAATAAAGAGATAAGAGAGAAAATCTTCGTCCCCTATAAAGCCCAGTCGAAGAAGTGACTAATGCCCTTGACAAAACCTAGTAAACTGCGAGGGTCAAGACCCGCAATATCCCTAATTTCGTCGTGAAACCTATTCCCTAGCCATTTCAGCCTGAGACTCTGTATCTTAGGACAGAAGCAAATTATATGCTCGATCGAGTCCACTTCCTCCTCGCATAACCTACAATAGTCCGGTGTATTGCTATCCCACTTACTGACAAAGGCCCTAACTGAGCGGTGCCCAGTTAGCATCCCTACCAGAATACTTAGACTGCGTCTATCAAGTCCTATAAGTATTTTGGTAGCTCCTATTATAAGTTTTGGCTATAGGGCATTTGATACATTGCAATCCAATCCAATCTACTATTACAGGACTGGTCTCTGATATCACGGTTTCTTTCGAATATCAGCCTGTAATAGTGCCAAATGGGTAGTTTTACCATCCTTTCTCAGTCATCTATATCAAGGTTCGAGATTAATCTAGCTAGTTCGTCCGCAACCTCATTACCATGCACATTACAGTGCCCGGCACTCTTTTGTTTTTTTTCTAATTTTAAAACAGATAAGATTAATGTAATAGTTGATAATTGTGGGACTTAACCCTCGCAGTCTACTAGGGTTTATCAAGGGAATTATCCGCTTCTTCGACTGACTGCTTTAGGGTACTGACTTGGTAAATCTTCTTGGTTGAAATCCCCTGAGAATATTCCTGTTTCCATTCATCTATCCTCTTTACCTCCCTTCTTCTTATTTTTTACCTATAGTGATTTTGTTTCTCTGTTTTTGGATCTTCATTCTTTGAAGGAAATGAATCTTATGGTCTTCGAGTAGATAACTTCATAACCTAAATATAATTAAAAAAGAACACAGTGCAAAATACACTAAATACCTATGTATATAAACACGATTTGCAAATTTAATTATAGATATGAAAAATTCTGAAATACAATTTTTGAAATATAAGAGATTTTTTGTCCAAAGTTTTAAGGCTATTATAATTGATTAAATATTTAGAATTCAATATTTATATATTTTGAAAAGTTAGAAAGAAATTATACATATTATATACTTGTGAATTTATGATTCGTTATAGACAAATTTAGGAGTATCACTTGGATATTTCTTAGCTCTAAATCCTAGAATATAATGAAATTCTAATGACGCCTTCACGTCAAGTTTTAAGTATGCTTTATACAGACTTCATTACGCTTTTGAATGTATTCGTAATATGGATGCTTTATAACTCAGATAGTTAAAAAAATGTTTTTCAGAAAACTCAAAAAACGATTTACTATTCTTCCAGAAATATGTGAAAGGTATTTAAAATGCACCGGAATAACATTTTGTTTCAAAATCACAGGAACATAGGTAAAATCAAGTAAGTAACTACGAAATGAAAGTTACCTCGCAATATATTCAAATTGCCAATATTTTGAAATAATCCAAAATTTTTATATTGATTTTCGAATTCAGCGATTTGACGTACACTATATATTTCTATATACATATTACAATATTGTATGTATAGTGCTATTGGTCTTTATGTTAAAATTCCAAAAAAATATTAAGAGATTCAGTTAGTGACTGCTTTCAATAAAACAGTATGTGAAAACCTTGCTTATAAACTTCGGAGTTTTTGCAAGTAACAAATTTACAACCCAATAACAATTTTTATACAAAATTAAAACAAATCAAATGACTACATTGTCTAATAGCTATAACGTTAATTATAAAATTGTAAAAAGCATTTAAAATACCTGTGAACTTTTATTGTATTCCACTATCAGTAAAGCAAACTAATTAATTTGAAATATTTTGACAGATCCTTGTTTAGTATTTAAAAATAATTGTAGTATGTATGTATACTTAATACTACCGGAAAAATGTCAAAACAATAAAAGCTCTATAAAGTCCTTCTATTAATTTGTAAAATTTATATCTCAGATTTGTACTTTTTCATTTTCATTTAGATCTTAGAGAGTAAGTTTAATATTCCCTCGATTTTATGATCATTATCTCTGTCTCCATTAATAGTGATGAAGACCTAATTTTATACACAGCATTTAAAAAACAATTATTATATTATGTTCAACAATGCAATAAATGTTAAATTAATTAACATAAACGTATACAACAATACACTGATTGATTCCATAAATGTCGTATGCATAGAGTAGTCTGTAGACGTTTCTATATCGAATTTTAATTTGTTATGGGTATAGTAAATCAATTAGTAGTAAAATAAATTTAATAAATATTTTTTTTTATTAAATACTTCTTTTAAACTATAAAAATACAAACAAAACACAATCAAAAGGTTTAAATGTTGGACAAGGCTGTTGGATGAATCAATTGTTTTGATTTCAAAATAAGTGTTAAGTATTCTTCTTCTTTTCTTATTTTGAAAAATATTGGTTTTGATATTATTGGAATTATTCAAAATTATTCCATGATTTACATTTTATTGCATTGTTTTGCGATTTCTACGTATGCTATGCATTCATTGTTTTTTGTTAGATGCTCAGTCAACTGTGAGGGACGTTTAAATATCCGCCGGCTACCAATGAGTCTACCACAACAATATACACTACGCTAGCTTCTTAACAACAACAAATAACTTACAATTTGATGAATATTTTATTAAAGAAAAAACAAAATAAAAAACGCAATGTCTATGATGCAACTTACAGTCTTTCCTGGCCAGGTGTAGGCTGCATACTTGTTAAATATAAATTAATACTGAAGGCGAACATAAAGAATGCAAAAAATAACAGGAACAGATACAACAGCCACAATTTCTTTAATTGCTGAAATCGTAAACCCATTATGTTACGTGTAAATAAACTTCTTTTTGTTGGCGATATTTTGGCCAAATTTCTTATTTCACTTCTGGTTTAACGTGTAAAAACTATGACAGACCGACGAACAGCCAGCGCGACTTAAAGTGTATGTACGTATGTGCTCCGTTAATGTTTAAGACAAGATCGACCGATCGAAAAAAAAAAACAAAAATAAAGCGAAACTCAAAAAATAAACAACTAGACGACACCAAGATGTGTTTGCTTTGACCGTTTACCACCGAATGTGGGGCCACTCTCTTGGTGCTGCTCACTTATACGACGCTGTTGTTGTTGCTCCACTAACGTTTTGTTTAAACCGCTTTATTCGCCTGTCCGTCCACCGTTCTCTTGATGGACGCTGTTGGCTGGATCTTTTGTTTATCAACAAAACAGCTATTTGTTTAGTTTGTTTTCATTTTTTGCACTGCTCCGTTTGCATTTATTTCGTTAAATAATTTGATAACAATAGAAACAAAAACAAATACTATTTCAACTAGAGTCCAATTAACTTAATTTTATTAATAAAATATATTTGCAAATTATAAAAAACATCTGTATTTATTCATTTAGAAAATTTGTAAATAAAATGTGATGACATCAAATAAACAATTTTCGAGTGGTTGTTAAAAATAGGAACAACAATATTGAAGTGCTTTTTATTTAACATACTTAAATAAGCAACTCTGCGCTAATTAAAGGCTCAATTAGTTTCTACGTTCCGTATATCGAATCATCTGAATCGTTCTTCTCGATGTATAAGGACTGGGAATATGTAATTGTAGAGTCGGAATATTATATCGTGGAAATTAAAAACTGAATTACAAACTTCTACATACATATATACCCTTCTCACAAAGGTGAAGTGTATAAAAACATAAAATCCCTTTATATATAGTTTACACTATAATCTTGATTGTAGTCTATATTAGGGTTCTATAAATCGACTTTCGAATAATCGAACAATCAACTTTTTGTCGAAAAAAGTCGAAGTCGACTATTTTGTTCCAAAAAAGTCGATAACTCGACTATGGTCTGTGAAAAAAGTCGAAAAGTCGACTTTGTTAATAAAAGTCGAAAAGTCTGAAAGTCGAAAGAAGTCGATAAGTCGAAAAAAGTCGAATAAAGTCGAAAAAAGTCGAAAAGTCGTAAAAAGTCGAAAAAAGTCGAAAAGTAGGAAAAAGTCGGAAAAGGTCGGAAAAAGTCGGAAAAAGTCGAAAAGTCAAAAAAAGTCGAAAACTCGAAAATTGTAGAAACAAGTCAAAAATAGTCGAAAATCTTAAAAAAAGTGGAAAAAAAAGTCAAAAACTCTAAACTAGTCGGAAAAACTCGAAAAAAGTCAAAAAATAGTCGAAAAAAGTCGAAAGAAGTCGAAAATAGTCAAAAAGTCGAAAAAATCGAAAAGTCGGAAAAAGTCGAAAAGTCGGAAAAAGTCGAAAAGTCGAAAAAAGTCGAAAAAAGTCGGAAAAAGTCGAAAAGTCGACTATTTATAAAATACTTATAGTCGAAAAGTCTAAAAGTCGACTTTTGATTAAATGAAAAAAGTCGAAATGTCGAAAAATCGACTTTTCATAATATGCAAAAAGTCGAGAAGTCGACTTATAACTAAATGATAGAAGTCGAAAAGTCGACTTTTCGTTTCAACTATAGAACCCTAGTCTATATTCTCAACTAAAGTCGACTTTACTCTTTAGATCTATTCCTCTCTCGGAGTTGGCAACATTTTAATTGTAATATTTTTTCATCCTAAAAGTATGTTCAAAATTTATTTTGTCTTTGTTTTTTTTTTCAATTTACAGCACCATCTATTGGTCTGTAGTTAATTTTAAATTTGTACACCATTAACGAACATGAAGTTGTGAACTGTTATAATTTAAACTAACAGAACTAATTCAAAATTAAATTTGCAAATAAAATAGTTTGTCCGTCAGTCGTTTAATGGTGTTATTTAGTTAATAATTTCACCCTACTTTGAAATTTTTTCAATATAAATAGTTTTTGTTTTTCAAACATTAGTTTGGAAATATTTTCAATTTAAAATTAAGTATTTTATAGAACAAGAAAGTAAATTAAACAAGTGAAGTGAAAAGTTCATAAATTTTTAGTTTTTGGATGATTTTTTTTTAAATATCAAAATTTTAAATAAACTCTATTATTATGAATATTATAAAGTTTCGAGTTCAACTCCACGCATCCAAATTTAATGGGAATTCATTTAGTATGAATTGAAACGAATTTTTTTTAAATATATGTATATACAGTAAATAAATATTTCTCTATTAATTTCATAATAATTTGCAAAATAAATACATATTTCACAATTAAGCTAATAAAATACTGACATAATCAGAAACAAGATTTTGGATTAAAGCTTATTTTTCCATAAATATATGATTCACAATCCAAGAAGGATCAACTAAATAGTTAATGATATAATTTTCTCCTTTGAATATGTTTCAAACTTATCGCCAATATAGCAGCCACCAATGCTGAAGCACCCTGTAAATAAAATCATAATTATTAGAAATATAATTGCCATTCTAAGAATACAAGCTACAAACCTCTAGACCAACTAATGTCCAGTCAGATATTTCTTCAATTCTTTGATTTAGTGAATACATTTCCGCCAACTTTGTAGCACAGCCCTCGGTAAATAGATTCGTTGCAAGTGTATTGTTGTTGTTCTGATAACAACTCAATGGTATGGTGTGTCCCTCTTTTACATAATCATCTGGTCCAAATTTACCACAGCATTCATACTGCAAAGAAAATAAGTAAAAGTAGATATCATTTACTATAAGACTGGCATAATCCAAAATTCTAGGTTTTGAACTGAGGGCAACAAAACGTGCGTCATAAGTATGTATGTCTATTATTTTTGGTGTGATATCGATTTTTTTGTTGAAAACATGAAAACTAAAACTCATGTTTTTACGAATTTTAGATAAATAAATATCAAAGTACATACATACCTATGTATGTATATAAGTATTTTAATATACATACATATAATTTCTTTGTATGTCCGAATGTATGTACATATATGTACATGCGTATTTCCATGAAAAGATATACCTTGATTGAAAAAAAAACACCCTTCTTAATTTCGCACTTTAAAAGATAATTTAACAAATTTTTATATATGGACTTCTAATATATTAAAGACGAGGTCTTTTAAAAATATTTTAAATCGATTCATTATTTTTGTAATCATCTGACCTCTTTTGCCCCTAGTGTACAATTTAAAAGTTCTGAAATTTAATAGGTATTTTGAGATACAATTACCCCATATAATATTCTATTCAGGAAATGTCTTTAATGCTCATAAGTGACTTTAAAATATCAGAATAACAATCAAATTCTACATGAATATTTTATAAGAAGCAAAAACTCTACAAAATTTTATGAAGTTTGGCCTATAATTGACCGTTAAAGATGGCCTCTTTCTGAAATCATAAACTAATATTCCTATCAGGCATGAAACCCCACGACATTTCGGTACTTAGACTTTAAAAACCTTAAAAGTACAACTTTTGTTATAAGTTAGATAGAGTTAAATACTATGGCACGTTTTCTTTATAAAAGTACTAGCTTTACCCAGTGTGCTTTGCTACCCTAAAAGCACTATAAATAAAAAATCCTCTTAACGATTTTGAAGATTCTAACTGCAATAGTTCTCCAGATTTACAATATGTTACATATTAGAGATGCCAAGCAAATTACTGAAATTACAAATTACTTTTTCTTCCAAAATGCTCAGATGATTATTGAAGTAATTCAGTAATTCATCGGTTCAGCCGTTTAGTAGTCTATAACGTTCAAACATACAAACAAACACACATTCATTTTTATATATAGATAATTAGACCAATTCCTAAAATGTTTCTAAGTATTCCCCCCTTTAAAACATACCCAGCAAAAAAATTTTGCAGTAGTGCAAAGGGAATGTAAGTTTCATGACTTCTTTAATAACAGTGCATCGTTTTCGGATCATCGAATTTGCATTGGTTCGATTATATGAAAATCTCGCATAAACACATGATCTCCAATGACACGCTTATGTTTAAAATCATGAATGTTTCACCTAAATCGAACCACTTCGTCATCACTTGCACCTCCGATTAAACATCTACCTTTTGGCACTTACTGCTAAACGGCTCATAACTTTAGGCGAAATGACCAAAAGCGGTTATGTAGGAAGACTATACGCAATCATCGGACGTGCCCAATCGCATACCAGACACAGAATATGTCGGGAATTTTGAAACACTGATACCAGATAGAATATCTTGGTCTAGCGTAATATTAGGGCAAATAGCCGTAGGAATCCGTATTGCACAAATGTTTGGGGATAAAGCGATCCTGAGGTTCCATATTGAAGACCCAAAAACTGATATTTACTACCGTTTACCTAATCACAACACTAACATCCAGGCAGAAGTCTGAGCAATATGGCTTAACATACATATTTATTTACCAACATCCAGAAAGCAATTATTGCGAAATCATGTGATACAGTTAAATCTTAAACCGTATTGTTTTAACGAAACACTCTCCCAGAGGTAAGGTTTATATAATATTGGTACCAGACCACTAGGGAGTAGTCGGTAACGAAAGAGCGTTTGCACTAGCTTTAAAGGGAAGGGAGCTCAAGGTGGTTAATCTGACGAACGCAAAACCTTTCGACGCATCGAGGGCTGACAAAGAGAAGCCTCCTCAAAGTGAGTCAATCTGAGGTGAGTATAATGGTACGTATTCTTAGTGGACATACAGGATTACGGGCACAGCTATACAAATGTAGAGCATGTAGGACATAATCCTATCAACCTAACGTAACCTAATACTGTTAAAAAATTTAAATTTTTCATGCCTGAATTAAATGTGCGACATTGGCTACGGATTGATTCATAAAAACTAAGTCCATATGTAGAGACACATTCGGAAATTCCCTTGGCATATATCCGTATATAACACTTTGTTATACATACATATGTATATTATAATAATATTAATGAAAGCTTTTCTCGAATCAATGTTGTTTATATTGCTACGTAGCTCTTAAGGTTCCTAATTAAGTAAAATCTTTCCATTATAGGATAATGCTCTCATTAAAATCTTGGTCCAAAATTCAATTTTACTACAAAAAGTGGTAAAATAAGTTATTGTTCTAAATTCCCTGATAATCAGACAATTTTTAATAATAATTTTAAATATAACCGTACTTAACATAGGATATTATATTGTCGACTATGCCCTTCTAAATATTATTATTTGTTTACAATTGAATTTTACTGAATAACACGACTATTTCGAGTATTAAAGTGCTTACCTTCATTTCATACATCGTCATTTTATAATCGTTTGCCATATCAGAATTCCAGACATTATTAATTATTTCATTGGCAATGTTGCTAAAGTTAACTGGTTCCAAAAATATCACAGCAATTTGACCCAACAGTAAAAGCAACATTACAATGGCATACTACAGTGAGAGAGAAATTTAAAGTGATACCATGACTTTTTGACTTAAAGTCTATTAGAAACTTACTATCCAGGTAATACGAATGGATTGACGTGTAATGCCACAACATCCT